TGGAATGGAAAGAACAAGAACAGACTCAAAGCAGCAGCATTTGTGGCTTTGCTTTTCTCTCAAGTAGGAAGTCGTAACGAGAAGCACAAGCACTGTTGTGTTTTTACATTTTGCCTCTCAGATGGTGGTTGACAGGTCAGAAGGTTATCTACAGCAGCTGGTTTTAGAGTGAGCAACCCACATCATTATTCAGAGCCCCACCAGGTTGGTGTCCCACCAAACTAACTGGGTTGTTACTGCTCTCGTGTCTGCACAGTGTCACCAAGGGAAGCCTTGTTCTTTTCCAGCAGGGCATCTCAGCCTTCCCCTCCTCCTATAAGCAAAATCAGTACAATCCCCAGAACCCAGGAAGCAAAATTCCCTTATGGGATGGCTCTACATCCAGGAAAGCTCAGAGCTCTGCTCCCTTCCCTTCTCTACTCAGAGTTCCAGAGCAGCAGCAAAGAAAACTGCTGAGATAACAGCTAAGTGTTGTGACCAGAATTGATGAGCAATTTTCCAGTTTCTTCCCATCAGGAACAAAACAAACTCCCTCTTATGCTTTCAGTTCATTAAGCCCTTGCCTCAAACCCAAGCAGATAAGGTGAAGGCCATGTCCAGTGCAGAGCTCCCACAGGGCTGGCCATGAAAGGGGAACGAGAAGCCAGAACTTTGGGTGGGACTGGGACTCCAATGCATGGCACACAATTAACAACAGCAAAAACAATGCTTACAACCAAACAGCTCTGCTTACCTCACATTTAATTTGCGCTCCTCATCACTGCCAGCCTCCAGCTGAGGGAAGAAAAGGAGACAGAGAAAGTTACACACTGGTTGTTTCCACAGGACTAAAAGAATACATTCTTTAAAACCATCCTAACAACAGTGGGTGGTTGCACCCCATGTTTTTGCAGTGCTGGGGATAAAGGAGACACTCTGGCAATACATGCCTGCTGACAAAGGGGCTCATGGGGGCTTTAAGGCTATTAGGCCCTAATCCTGCAAGCTGGTCCTGCAGCGTGCACCACTCTGAAGCACAGCAACCTGTTCTGTGCACACAGGAGTGCAGGGAAGGGCTGGGTCTGCTTCCACCTCCCCACCAGCTCACAGACCAAATTCCGCATTAAAGGAAAACAGAGTTTTGGTTAATTGCATCCAGAGCTGACTGGAAGAAAAAAGCTCAAAGATCTCTCCTTTGCTTTGCTTCTGCATGACCAGAATGAGGGCCAGCAGCATCCCTCTGAAGGGCTGGCTGTGCTGGAGATCCAGGACCTTGTGGATTGTGTTGCAACAGGGAAACTTCTGCTCAGACCTGCAGCACACAGGACACTCAAGCCTGGATAACTCAGAGCATGCTCTCCTGTGTCTGTGTCTCCCCACTAGCACCAGCAACGTTTTCTTATTTATTAACACTGCTTAAAACCCACATCAAACAGGGTCCTGGGAAGGGTTAGTTGTTTTCAGGTGGTTTCTCACGACTCAAAAACAAGCAAGTAGTTTCACGCCACACATTTAAGCTTAAAATTTTGAGAGTGTGCACATAGGGACCAGGTTGTTCTGTATCCTCCTCCTATTATGACTCAGGGATCAGAATCTGCAACCTGCAAGAACCACACGACCACTCAGTGTGGGTACTGAAGTACAGCCACGCGGAGTAGAAAGAGGCACAGATCCCATCTCAAACAACCACAACGGATGACGATCTGGAGGAAAGCATACCAGCTCTATTTTTAGTTTGTTTACATGGCGTGGCCAGAGGCAGCCGCAGTGCTCACAGCACCCTGAGCCCCTTGCCCACGGCCCTGAGAGAGCTGCAGGGTCCAGTGAGGTCACTGCTGTGTTTGTTTGGGTCAGTCACGTAGCAACAGGATGGAGAGCAACGTTTTTTAAACAAGCAGGACTGCAAAATCCCAGATGAGGTTCAGCAGCAGTGCTGGGCCTGGAGCTGCTCTGAGCTCAGCTTTTGCAGCCACTGACTTGGTTTCAAGTCTACTTTCCTTGCTGCAGGAAAGAAACAATGGAAGAGAGAAGCAGCCCACAGCACAAGCACAGCATCTATCCACATTCTGAGGCATTACCCACAAGGGGTATGGAATGAGCAAGTGGGGCCAGAACACACATCGTGACGCCACCACTGCTCTGATGGATCGCCCCTATGGATTTATGGTGTTACAACAGCGAGTCTCGTGAAGGCAGCAGCATCCATTTCCTACATTCCTTCAAGCTGAGGAGTTAAGAGAGGCTGCAGCAGCTTACTCACAATTAGCAAGAACATTTGGTCATCATTTTCCATTTTAAAAAGATCTATCTTCTGGTAATTAATCACCATACGCTAAAAACCCTGTGAATCCATCCTTGGGAGAAGGGGGAGAAATGAGGCACTTTTGGGGGGGATTTTCCTTTGAAATCTGCTACCAGGCTGAATTCTGACGGTTTGTAGCTCTGCAGGGCTGCATGCCAGGAGGGAACATTCACATGGGAGAGGGGACTCCTCCAAGGGCCACCAAAGCACAGCAAGGAAGCAAGCTTGGTGAAAAACCGGGGGCTGCATGGTTACCCCACCAAGAAACCACTGGTGGGCAGTGAGCTACATGGCACGAAACCTAACCCAGGTTTGCATGGGCAGGGAGTGAGCAGCCCACCTGGACCTTCCCTCCCAGTTAAACCCAGCCCAATTGCACCAGCTGCACCTGGTGGTGGCCATCTGCAGAGACGAGATGGTTGGCAGGTTTTCATAGAATCATAAAGCCCAGAAAAGGCCTCTGAGACCACCAAGTCCAGGCCCAACCCACCCTTGCCAGGCCCACTAACCGTGACCCTCAGTGCAACATCTCCATGTTCCTTTAGCAGCTCCAGGGACAGTGACACCACCATGTCCCTGAGCAGCCCGTGCCACTGCATCACCACTCTTATGGATAATTTTCTCCCAGTATCCATCCTGACCCTCCCCTGGTGCAAACTGAGGCCACCACCTCTCATCCTACTGCTGTTACCTGAGAGTAGAGGCCGACCCCTCCCCACAACCTGCTGTTAGGAGTTGTAGGTAGCCATGAGCTCTCCTCCCTGAGCCTTTCTCCTTCAGACCACACTGCTTTGTCCCGTTCCGCAGCTCTGAGCAGCAGGATCCGTGCCAGAACCCAACACGCTCCTTCTGCAGGGCACAAGCACCATCCCCACATCCCTCAGCCAGGGCAGGGCTGCCCCGGGCCCCAACCACCGCACGGAGCTCATCGCCGCACAGCTAAACGGGGGCCAGCGGGCCCTGACAGGTGACAAATAGGATTGCGCACCTGCGGGGCCAAGGGCAGGGAGGAGAAGGATGGGGGGCGGGGGAAGAAACAGCTTTTTGGGGTCACCAAAGAGAAAGACGGGAGGAGGGGAGCGGTGGGGTGCAGCAGGCGGCAGCGGGAGAAGCGGAGCCAGCAGAGCGAACCGCCGCTCGGCGGGGCCGGGTGCATCCCAGGGACGGCCGGGCCCCGCGGAGGCCTCGTCCGAGGCCCACCCCACCCCTCCCCGCCTCACCTCGCTGGTGCTGGCCGAGGAGGCGGCGCTGGGGGTCGGCGAGCGCTGCAGCGTGACCAGCGCCATGGCGGGGGGGGGGGCGGACTGCGACGACGAAGGCCCGGCTACAACGGCGGCTGCGGGGCTCCGGCCGCCTTCATCCCGCCTGGCGGCTGCGCAGCACCGGGCCCCGCCGGCGGCCGCCGCGCTGCGGGGAGGAGCGAGGGCTGAGGGGCGGGGAGAGGGCCCGACAGGGCGGGGCCGAGCGGGCCAGGAGCGAGAGAGGCCTGGGGCCGGGCGGGGCCTAGCGGGGGTAGGCCGCAGGCAGGGCGGGGCCTAGCGGGCTCGGAGGGGGGCAGGCCTGAGCTGGGCGGGGCCTAGCAGGCCCGGTGGGGCCTAGCGGGACGGAGTTGAGGGCGGGGCTGGGCGGTTCAGGGCCTTTGAGGGGATGGAGCTGCTGGGTGCTCGGGGGATGGAGGAGCTGTGCGATAGGGACGGGCTGAGAGATTATGGGTGCGGCCCGCGGGAGGGAAGGCTCTGCAGTGCTTCTCTTTGTGGGGATTGTAGTGGTGGGAGTAGGAGAGCAGCTGTAGCCTAGCAGAGGTGGGTTTAGGTGAGATGCAAGGAGGAAAATCTTCAATGTGGGGCTGCGGAGATCATTCTGAGAAGCTGTGGGTGCTCTGTCCGTGAGGGTGCCCGAGGCCAGGCTGGGTCTGCCTGGTGTTGTTCAGTCTGGGTGAACTCGTTGCTCCCTGCGGCTCCCTGAAGGGGCAGCATAGCAAGGGGGGGGGGGTCCCTGCTCCCAGCTAACAGCGATAGGACGTGAGGTGATGGCCTCACGTTGCACCAGGGGAAGATCAGGCTGGGTATTAGGGACAATTCCTTCTCAGAAGGAGCAGTGATGCAGTGGCACAGCTGCCCAGGGAGGTGGTGGGGTCACCGTCCCCAGAGGTGTTCAAGGGATGTGGAGATGTGGCACTGAGCGATGTGGTCAGTGGGCATGGAGGGGGTGGGTTGGGGTTGCACTTGGTGATCTTAGTGGTCTTTTCCAAACCTTAATGATTCTGTGATTTTATGCAAAGTGTTCCATGGCAGAGAGTAGACCTGAATGAGTTTTAAGGCCCCTTTCCAACTCAAACCATTCCATGGTTCCTTGGTTCTATGAAAAACCAGTTGGCTGCTGCATCTACATGCCCCGGCCATCCTGAGGAGGTGCCATGGGGATGAAAGGGCATCCATAGAGCATCTGCAGAGCCTCCATTTCCAGGTACAGCATCAAGGAACCATACCAGAACCAGGCTGAAGAAAGTGTGAAGGTCAGCAATGCCAAAAGCAAGAAGCAGGCAAGTAATAGGTAATTAGTTTAAGAGGCTTTGCTGATTACATGTAAAGCTTTTAATAATTTAGGCCTATGAATATCTCTTTTTCCCCTTTTTTTCAGCAGTGTCTGCCTATCGCCACCTTTCCACTGCCTCCTGTGGGACTATATTTCTGCTGCTGGGGACTCTGACATGGACCACTGTGACCCTATGGGCTTCCAAAGGATGGACCAAGGGGCACCAGAAACTCCACCTCCCAGGTCAAAAGCAAAGACTTTGACCCTGTTGCCCAGCACAGGGTACAGCTGCAAGCTCTGGACACTCAGACCTTGGACTGTGAGGCTCCAAACAAGCTACACTGCACCAGGGGCTCTGCTGAAGTCTCCAAAACCTATAGAGGCTGCCTGGAGAACTCTGCAGGTAGGTCAGTGGAAGGTTGTGTTTCTGTTATTTATTGACCAGCTGAAGGCTCACGGGGCAGATGGATGCCTCCTTAGGGCTGCATTTGGCAGAGGTAGCCCTGATTCCTGCTGGCTCTGACCTGTGAGTGGCAGCAGATGGGAAGCAGCATGGCCCTGTCCTGCTGCCCATCGTCTCTGTGACTCATCCTGCAGCCCAAGCAGACGTCAGTCCTGCTGTGAGCTGAGCAGTGTCACAGGGGTGCTGTGCTTCACCTTATCCAAATAAAACTGCTGTCAAATTAATAATCTTGCCCCAGACCAGGTCTGGCATGCTTCTGGCAGCCTAGTGCCCACGGCTGTACCCAATGCTTTAAAATATGAATTAGATAATCCTAGTAGTCTTTTCCAATCTTAATGATTCTGTAAAATGTGGAGGTGTAATACTTAGGGATGTGGTTGCAATTGGTGAGCTTAGAAGTCTTTTCCAACGTTAATGATTCTATGATGACTTCAAGATGATCTTGCTGGAGGCCAACCCCAGGTCCATGGGCAGAGCCAGAGCTGTTGGCAAGAGCTCAGGGGCTGCAAGCAATGCTTGAGAAGTTTTCCTGCCACGATGGCACACTGCAAACCTACATTCATGATTTCAGTGCCTGCACAGTGCAGGCAGGTGTTGAAGAGCACTTTGGAGACTCTGTGGGGAAAACAGTGTTTGCATGTGAAGTGCCCTTCACAGCTCAGCCCCTGTGCAATCCTCCTGCGCTCTAGCAGCCAAACTGGCATTGTTTCGATACCAGGAAGCCCCATGCCACCCTGGCCCCAGTGCCTTCTTCCAGGCCTTTTTCTCACCATGCAGAGCCCAGAGCCATGCGCATTGCTGTCATTGGGGCTGGAGTGATCGGCCTGTCCACCGCCCTGTGCATCCATGACCGCTTCCATGCGCTGGTGCCCCAGCTGCAGCTGGAGGTCTATGCCGACCGCTTCACGCCGCACACCACCAGCGATGGGGCTGCAGGCCTGTGGCAGCCCTACCTGAGTGACCACGGCAACCTGCAGGAGACGTGAGTTGAGGGGTCCCTTTCAACCCAAGCCATTCTGTGATAACTGTGCGGATTAGGGGCTGAGCTGTTGGAGAGGAGCTCTGTGGAGAGTGACCTGGGTGTCCTGGTTGATCATGAGCCAGAAGTGTGTCTTCGTGGCTAAGAAGGCCAATGGTACCCTGGGCTGCATTACTAAGAGCACAGGTGGCAGGGTGAGGGAAGTTCTCCCCTCTGCTCTGCCCGGGGGAAGCCATATCTGGAGCACTGGGCCCATTGCTGAGCTTCCTGTCTGTCTTGAGCTGGGGAGCCACTGGAGAGAGTCCACTGGAGGGCTGCAGAGATGGCCTGGAGTGTCTTCTGATGGGGTTTTTCCACACAGGCTGTGGAACAAGGAGACCTTTGAGCACCTCCTGGGGTACCTCAACTCACCAGAAGCAAAGGAAATGGGACTGTTCCTGATTTCTGGATATAACCTGTTTAAGCAGCCTGTACCGGTAAGGAGCAGGGCACAGGGGAGGCAGGAAGGGCTCCAGCTCTGGGCAGTGTGCAGGTTTGAGTTTCTGGGCTGGAGCTGGGCAGCAGGGACGTCTCTGTCACTCCTGCCCCTGCAGTACCACAATTGATTACTGTCATTTGAGTGACATCAGTCCTTCTCCCTTTGCAGGATCCATCTTGGAAGAACATTGTCCTTGGCTTCAGGAACTTGACACCGAAAGAGCTTGAACTCTTTCCTGGCTACAGGTACTTTCAGGCCCTTTTTCTGAGAGTTTCTGGGCTCCATCACAGTTACTTCCCTTAAAAGTAGTACAGATCACCTCAAAAAAAAAAAGTGGTAACAATGCATGAAAACCATTTCAGCTTCCCCTCTCATTTCACTGCATACCATTGAACTTGAGAAGAAAATAGCTATGCAGTAAACGGGGAAAAAATAAAGCCCTGGCTCTGCCCGTGCATGAGGCAACCACCCTTGGGCAGCTGTTGTGGTCTTTACTACTTTCTATCCTCATGTCTTTCAGCTATGGCTGGTTCAACACGGCGCTGATGCTGGAGTGCAGGAGCTATTTGCCCTGGCTGACCAACAGGTGAGTACTAAGCCCTGCTGCTGCTCTTCCCTGGTTGACCTGGAGGGCTCAGCAGGGCTTTTGGCCATTAGGGAAATGAGCTAATAATGGCTGGAAAGTATTTAAGAACTGCTGAGAAGACCATGGATGTTTATTACAAGGAGCAACAAGCCATACTTACCCTGTGAATCAATTACAGGCATTAATTTGAATGGTACATTGGCTTTTATGTGCTGGTAAGAGATGAACTTGCTCTTCCAGGCTGGCGCAGAGAGGCGTGAAGTTCTTCCACAGGAAGGTTGAGTCCTTCGAGGAGGTGAGCTGGGATGTGGGGAGCACGAGGCTGGAATTTCTGCTGCAGAAGGTTCAGTGAGGCCATCCACCCCAAAGCACTACGCTTCAGCAGAGCTTAGGGCTGGTGGGGAGCCAGGATGCAGTGAGGAATCAGCAGTGCAGCTTTGCCTTAAGCTGCAAACACTTTCTTTGCCTGTACACTTGGGAGCTGTGCTGAGGAAGCTATGCCTTGGGACTGGCCCTTCTGTTCTATTCAGTACCAGAGTGCTGGACCAAATGCGTGGTTTGGTGTTGATGCAGGAGTCTCGTGCTCGCTGGGGTAGCATCACTGCCTGCATGCTGCACACTGCACCACCTCTGTCTCTTGGTAGATGTTTTCCCAGGGAATTGATGTTGTCATAAATTGCACTGGGATCCGTGCTGGGGAGCTGCAGCCAGACCCTGCTCTGCAGCCTGCCCGTGGGCAAGTCATCAAGGTGAGGCTGCACCCTGCTCCATATGCATCCCGTGTCCTGCCTGTCACCCGATGTCACCCTCCTGCTTTCTTCCCCCAGGTCCTGGCCCCATGGGTGAAGCACTTCATTATCACTCATGACATGGAGTCAGGGATCTACAGCTCACCCTATGTCATCCCGGGGTAGGTAGCAGCAATCCTGGAGTTAGCAATGATGTGCACTCAGAGCAACCCCCAGCACTGCTCCCTGTTGACATCTGCACACGAGCTCTGCCTTCCCTGCCTGTCTTTTACTGTGGAGCAGAGCTCAAGGAGCAGCAGTGCCAGGCAGAGCCCAGCTGCCAGCACTTCTCCAGCATCTGCTTCCCTCTGGCTGCTTTCTTAGAGATGCTGGGATCTGTCTCAGAGGGCAGCAGATGCATGTACCCAGGGAGCTAAGCAGCAGGGTAAATAAATCCATGTCTGCTGTGCATCCCTCCTGCGTCCCCCTGAGAGCAGCCATCCACTGCATTTTGGCAACGGAGAGGTTTTTGAAGCCGTAACCTGAATGCTGCACGTCTGGCACTTCCATTGTGCTAATATCTCAGGATTAGGCAAGAAGCCCTGATGTAAATAGGAACTTTGAATGCTCACAGCTTCCAAGTGAAGTGCTCCAACTGATCTCTTATCACAGTCCCAACCCCACAGAAATTCCTCTCTCCATGTGTTTATTTTTGCTAGCTGTTCCATAGCTGGGTATAGGCTAGCTATGAGGGGAGCAGAAAACGGTGGGAATCTGAGCTCCTTGCCAGGAGCATTCCATTCCCTCACCCTGTTGATAGCAGATGAAATCAGCCCTTTTCTTTGCCAAGGCCTTTCGGGTGCTGATAGTGTTTAATGAACAACTTTCCCATGAGCAGACACTCAGGCAGACCTTCCTGCCTGCTTGGCTCCCGAGGGTGCCTCAGGCAGGAGCATGCTGCGGGCACAGCAGGACCCACATGGAGTGCCTCCATCTGGTGGCACCAGGACCATTTACTGCCCTTTGCTCTTGGTGCAGGAGTGAGTTCACAGTTCTGGGAGGCATCTACCAGCAAGGCAACTGGAACGAAGAGAACAGTGCTCAGGACCACAAGTCCATCTGGGAGAGGTGCTGCAGGCTGCTGCCCACGCTTCAGGTGAGTGACCCCAGCCCAGCACCAAACCCCAAAATCAGCAGCACATGGTGACTGCCTTCAACAAACCCTGAGAGCTGGAGGGTTTTCTGTGCACCCCCTCATTGCTTGCACCTTCCCGGTGTGGTTGCTGGGAGGATTTTGGCTTCTGTGAGTCAGAGCAATGCTGGGCTGATGGGATTCTGGTTTCAGAAAGCAGAGATTGTGCAGGAGTGGAGTGGCCTGAGACCAGCACGTCCCAGTGTCCGCCTGGAGCGGGAGAGCATTGGCCATGGGCGTTCGAGGACAGAGGTACTGTGCTCATTAACTGCAGTGCTAATTGGGTGCTGATGGCTACAAGCTTGGCTGCTGCTCTGCAGCCACACTGCCAGCGCTCAGCTGTCCTCGCTCCATCTCCCCTCTCCCAATGGCAAATCCTCAATTCAGTTTCAGCCTGGATCAGAGATAAGTGTCAAAAACATTGTGATGGATTTTATGGGGAGAGCATTCCTGCCAAAGGAAAACTTGTAATTGGAGCTTTGTCCTTCACGGACAGAGAAAAATTCTGAGGCACCAAGCCCTGCCTATTTCTCTTTTAAGAGAAAGGAGTTGGGAATGGCACCAGCTGCTGTGTGCCACTGTCCTTGTGGCAGACAGAGATGGTGTTGTGCTTGAGGCTGTTCAGCATAACACCATCCATGTAGGATCCCATCACTCCTCAGCTCTTCAGCCTGAAGCTCATCTGCAGTCCTACAAAGGGAACTGTGGTTTGGGTATGTGCCTCTGTGCAGCTCTGAAGAAAAGATTAGAGCTCCAAAGGGGATGTGACTGCAAAATGTAATTAAGTGTAATGAAAATAGATTTAATTTTTAGCTGGAAAGCTTTGGAAAGAGCTCAGTGTATTTAGGCAAACGTGGTTCAAAGTGAGGCTGTGTTTGAATTGCTGTTTGGATCATTCTGTTCCTTTATCAGCATGTCATATCTGTGCAGCTTTGGCACAGGAGCGGTGCAGCAAGTCGGGCTCCAGCCGAAGCACAGCCATTTACCTTGTCAGGAGCAAACCCTGCATGCTCTGAGGAGCAGGGTGGTGAGCTGCTGCAGTCTGACTCCCTCTGTCCCCAGCAGGTCATACACAACTACGGCCACGGTGGCTTTGGGATCACCATCCACTGGGGCTGTGCCATGGCCGCAGCCCGGCTGCTCGGGAACATCCTGCAAGAGAAGCAGCCCCAGTCCCGCCTGTGAGTTGCCTTCTCAGCTGGGATTATTGTGATAGCAGTAGCTTAGAAATCACAGCAAAAAGATCCAAGCAACACTGGTGCACGTGAGCTGTTGACACTCCTGCTGGCTTTGCTGATGCTTCCTCCTGTCTTGTTTTCGGGTTGCTGCCAGTTCTGCTGCTGCCATTTGCCAGACGGCCGAATTTCCTCCATCGTGGCCTCGCGCAACCTACCCAAAGGAAGTGCTTTAAAACATGGACTAATTATCTGTGACAAAGTGCACTTCTGTCTCAGGGATCAGTCTGCAAAGGGCAGGTGGAGTTCAGTTGAAGCCTTGGCAGTCCTGCAGTTTATCTGCATGCTGAGACAGGATCTGAAAGCGAGCTGGTGCCGTGCGAGGTCTCCACTGGCTGCTCAGACACCCAGCATGTAATTGGATTTGCAAGCTGCCCCCAAGAGGCAAAAGCTCCTTAGTAGGAAGAAGCTCCTGGGGAAGTGACAATGGCCTCACAAGCACGTGCTCCACTTGCAATTGCTTTTCTTACGCTCATGCCAGGACAAAGCACGGGTCTGCGGCACCTGGTTAGTGTATCTGGCAGCAGACAGCAGTGGTTACCTAAAATGGCTTTCCAAATGATGGTTTTAGTAACAAAAGCAACATGTTCCAGCCCTGTGTACTTGCCAATTCCTATATATAGCACAGTGCATATGCCAAATAGCTGTTCTTGTCCCTAAAACTCCCACGGGCACTTTGGTTTCTCATTTCCCTCTGCTGCGAAACGTGGCTGGAGGAAGCCTTCGGGCTGTGCTGATCAGAGGAGGCAGGGACACCTCCCAGGAGGGTGACTCTTCTTGGAGAGAGGAGCTGGAGGTGGTCAGTGTCACTTCCAAGGGCCCCAGGCCTGGTTCTAGAGATGAGCTTTGGCCTCTTGTTCTGTGCCACGTGCCTTTCCTGCTGTAAAGATTTCACAAACAGAAAGGTGCTGTGAGGTCAGAAAGCATCAGCCTCGGATCCAAAGTGCCGTACTGGTAAATGAGAGCTGCTGCAGTGCAGCCAAGTTTGTCTCACCTCCTGGGGAGCTGGATTCAACAATCCCATGGCCCCTGCACCCTGTCCAAGGACCTGTTGTGATGCTTACCCAAGAGTGAGCACTCAGTGCTGCAGGAAACAATCCACACACACAAGATCTGCTGCCCCAGACACGTATGAGCCTTGTCTCTGTTTCTGAAGTGCTGTGGAGGTCACTGCCAGCACAGCCCCAGGAGACCTCCCCATGACATGGTTCTCCACTGAACGCTGTGACTGTTCACACTGTGAACTTAGCAAGTTTTACACACTATGAGCAGTGGGAACAACCTGAGCAGCTTTGCTGAGCACATGAGCTCAGTGTTTGCCATTGTACAAACGCAGCAGTAGTTCTCACCATAAGGGCCAGGATTTCTCAGAAGTGCTGCTCTGTCCCCTCTCTTATTTCTCCACCTTTTGCATCCTTGATGCTTGCCTGTGCTGTGACACCTACAGCACCATTGTGTGGAAATAGGAGCTCCTGTCACGTCCAGTCTGTCTGCCAAAGGGTTTCCCACTTCATCTGGCAGCTCACCTGATTTACTGCAGTCACATTCAGAGGCCTGTCATGCAGAAAAGAACAGTGAAAAGAAAATACCCAGAGAAAATTTACCACTGTTGGATGCTAAACCTAATTGTCTGTAGTAGTGCTGGAGTAGGAGCTGTTAGGTGAAGTGGCATCTGCTTGAGTTCACTTATTCCAAATAGCTGAGATATGAAGGACTATATTCTCCTCACACTTGTGCTGGTGTAACTCCAAGCGAAGAAGCAAGCTGACAAAAAGCAGTTGATTCTTCTGATCTCAGAGCCTGTAGGAACAGCTGCCCTGCATGGGTCAGGATGACAAATGCAGCTCTATGTGGCCTCTTAGAAAACAAGCAGAAATGACTGGGTTTTATTTGCAATTTCTATGTTGCTTATTTTCTAAAAGGCTACAATTTAATGTGTGTGCACAATAAAGATCATAGCCAACTACCCTGTGTGATGCTTTTTGTAACAGTACCATGGATTGGACTTCAAATGCTGATTTGACAGCAACATTCCAGCAGATCACCATTCCTTCTCCCAGTGTTTAATGCTACGTGTTTCCTGGATGTTTCCTCCTGCAGAAGGAACAGCTGTCATTTCACTTTCTGAGCAGACAAACAAAGCTGAAATAGTGCAGTGTGAAGCTGTTTGGGTGGCTGCATGTGGCTGCCCGTAGCCCTCAGACCGCTAAGAGCTCACAGACAGAACCACGTGGGGTTCTGCCATTGGGTTCAGCTGGGCTCTGCTTGGAGAGCAGAGCTACAGGAGCAGTATTTTGCACTGCTGGAAGCCGTGGAACACCATGGGGTAGAAGAATCATGGAGAGTTAAGTTCATTTTTTGTGGCAACAGTAAGAGAACCAGGAGGGAGCCTGGACAGCTACTGCAAATGTGTTCTTGACAAGCAAAAAATGTCCTCTCCAGAAGCAGAGTCAGCACAATTCAGGAACTCACAGCGATGGCCTGTGACACAAAACAAACCTGGAAACGCACCAAGTATCAGTAAAGTTATCCTCTGTGAGCCAGCGGCAGCTCTGGCATTTTGGAAAGCAGAATGAGCTTCAGGAATGGCTGAAGATGCCAAAAATTAACGGAAGACACAGAACAAATACTCTCCCAAGTATTGCTGCCACGATGCAAATTCACAGCAGTGAGAGCAGAGCTGCTGCACGCTGAGATGGGAGCACGCTGCGATAGCGGATCATCAGCTGTGGTGGCTCAGATACAAACCTCTTTTTGTTTGTAAATCACTGGGCATCAAAACGCCATTGGAAGAGCAGAGGAATGCAGTCAGAGTTACACAGTTATGTCTTACAGTAATGAGATGAGTAAAGTTTACATGAAGAAGTAAATTAATAGAAGCCTCCCTGTCCTGAAGGCATCCAGTATCTGACCATCATGACAAACCCCACTGAGGCTACTTACCTTTGTAACAGCCCTATGGAACAGCCATTTCTACTGAAAAAACTATTTATTTGTCCAACATAAAATATCTAGTGTGGAATTAAACGATCCAATGTTGCATCAGTAACAGAGGAACAAAAGGATTATTTTACAACAAGCTCCATATACACAAAGTTTTTAAACATTAAAACGTATCCAGCTTAGAAACTGTACATTCAAACACAGGAAAACATTCAATGTTCCTTCTGCAAGCATTTAGGAATACGAAATCATTCCATCAAAGCACACTTGGAGAATTATTTTTCCCACAACAGCTTTGCACATTAATATATTGAACAGATAGCAAAACTCTGAATCCCACAACTCTCTTTGCTCTCAGTTAGAATCCAAAACTATGTCACTTCATTGTTTTCAATGAACTAGCTCTATTCATTCCTTCATCAGTGAAAAATACTCTGTGTGTAAAAGGATCTTTGGAAGCTTATATACATCAATGGTGTTGCCATATTGACCATATGACATGTGGTTATAGGCTGCAGTGTATCAAGCCAAACATCCCTTGGTTTTTCAGTGAGCTGTCTACAGTGTCCTTCCTTTCTTAATAACACACGTGTTGTCAGATACATTCTCAGTTGCAGAATTTGTAAAAAGTGAAAAGCAAAAATGCCCTCAATTTTTAATACAGGTTAACACTGAACTCAACAGCATCCAAAGGCTGTGTGTTACCTACAAGTCTTCACGTGGGCAATATTTTGTTTGAAGTTTACTCGATATCTCTACTTCCCTAAAGCCTCTGAATGCACGTTTTGAAGGCCATTGCAATGCTGTTGAATATTGGCTCAAAAAATAGCAAAGTGCCCTGTGAACATTAACACTGGAAAAGCAGAACTTTAACGAAAAGGCTTTCAATAACAAACCAAGGCAGCAGCCAGGCTGCGAGGTGGCATTCATCCAGCCATGGATTTCATTTCATTCACCCTGACCTCTAAGGTGGGCTCACACCCAGCTGGATTCTCCTATAGGCACTCCAGTTTTGGGGTGTTCACTGAACTGTAAGCATCCAGGAGATGCTTCCATCCTCTGCTGCACCACGTCCATCCCTCGTGCATCCAAGGGAAATGAGTCAGTGCATCTCTGAGGCAGCACTGAGCTACCCCAGTTGCATAGTATATTAGAGAAAGCTATCCAACTACAGCCTGATAAAAGGTGGCAAAAACAAATTACGTGCACTGGTTGTCAGCTCCATGAGAGCCCTGTCTGTTTACTGAGGGCTGACTGGAATTTGAGCTTGCTGGAGACCGAGCACACAGGATAAAGACACAGCAGAGACAAAGATCAGAGATAACCAGACCCACACCAAGCAACAGTCACTGGAACAGACAGTGCATTCCTACATCATCCACCATATCTACAGCAGGATCCCCTGCGAGCTCAGCTGCATTTTCAGACAGCCACAAAAAGAAAAGTGCCTGCTTGCACCCACTGCTCCCAGAATCTCTCACTGCAGCCACCATCAGAAAGCAGTAAGTGAGCAGACAGACATTCTGGTGCCATGTCAAACTCCAGCTTTTCTCAGCAGAAGACACTCAAACATGGAATATCAACAAACTCTTTGGCCTTTTTTAAATTAGTCTGAGTTCCCTCAGTTTCTTGTCTAATTCTCCTTCGACACCATAAACAAACAAACAGCCCAACATGTCTCAGAGCATTACACAGCACTACAGTGCTGCAAATCCCTAAGTGAAAGGTGAACCCAACAGTGTTCATTTGTATTGCACCCAAAAACAGACTCAGCGACCTGTTATTGCCCCACAGAAGAGGGGCTTGGTTCCAGAATACTTAAAATACTTTACTGTGCAAAACTTGTTGCACATTTACCTATGTTTCTGTGAGACAACGGACCACACATAATTAGAAAAAATGTATTGCTTTCCCACAGCCTGTTGATTAGCATCTAGTCCATCTCATTCCACTGGGTCACGTGTTCTATAGTGAGGAATTCAGAAAGCAAACTGAGCCATAGATGCTCAGACAGGTCTCAGTTTCTGTTTGTATTTTCTTGCTGCATATCCACAGGCTCTGAATTCTGACTCCCTGCAAAGACAAATTTCTGACAAACAAGACAAACTTATCCTCACCTGAACTCTGTTGCATTCTCCACCAAGAGCAGGGATCATCAGCCTCCACGGACTGGTTACGTCTGAAGGAATGAAGTTCCTCTTCTCAGGAAGATTGTGGTTTAGCTCTTCCCAGGATTTTTGTTTCTGACACGATGCCAGCTACATTCCTTTGTCACCTGCTTACCACTGCAGTCATGCAATCTGCAGCTATTGAGAAGTCCAGTCCAGCTGTCAGGAGACCAGCTTCTGTTGGGAGACACTCCAAACAGGCACCTTCCAAACTGTTCCATGTAGCCGTTCAGACTGAGGCACCTTCACCAAACATTCTGGGTACACCACTGCAGGAACACACTTAGGCAAATTGAGCAGAAACAGACCTGAGCCCATGCAGAAAACCACAGCGTGCATCTCCATGCACAAAGAGACACCAGCACAGCTGAAGCAGTCTTCACCACGCAACACAGTGCTCAATGTTCCTGGCAATGGTAGAAAAATCAAATTCTGCTCCAAAGCATCAAGAGTTACAGAGTACATACACCTCTCATATGAGATCCCATCTCTGCAGCAAACACCACTCCTCACCAATTCAAACTACCTGCCTCGAGTGGGAGAAGCATTCAGGAAATAGATTCCAAGCAATCTCCCTCACAGTGCCTGTTAATTCTCAAGGAGCAGAACCCGTAAGCAAGGGTATAGTAAGCATTGGTTGGTTTGCTGTTACTGCATTGTTGTTGTTGATGATGGCTAAAAAGTGCAAGGCAGGCATCTAGTTCGTAAAACCTATTTTGTAGTGTATGGAATCCACCATATGCTATACCAAGTACACAATAAATATTAATCTTTTGTTTTTAGGCATCAAGAGTACATTATTTTAATTACAGCTTATACCGAGTGGCATTCAGTTAATTATCTGCTTGACACGGGACATTGTAAGCTGAGTAGCTGACCATGCAAGCACAACAGACTTAAGAAAAACCCTTCCTGCTAAAATTCAAACGACATCTGGATCAAATGCCTTTGAACATGGAAGTGAAGTCTTTATGTGTGTGAGCAAAGAGCAGTAGTGACACAATTTACTGAGGTTCAACCCAAAAGTTCCTGCAGTTTGACACATGACGTTGGCAGTGACAGAATGGTCTGCTTTCTATGCTTCAGAGTTGGCCTTTTTGGGAACTTATCTTGCTTATTTCATCCATTCCTTCAGCAGGATTTCATGTCTCATCACTCCTGTGACCCAGAGTTAGACCTGGTGACTCCTGGGGAATGAGATCCTCTCCCAACCATCTCCTGTCCCCATTCTCTGTGGCTGGACTCCTGTAAGCCACGACCTTTTGTTTCAATGGGCAAGAAGAAGGAAGCCACAGCAGCCAGCAGGCAACATCCACTGTAAACAGCCAGTGTTAAATAGACTGAAGATTCCAACATCACCTGCAGAAAATACAAAATATTACCACCAGGAGGAATTTTAGGGCTGCATACTTTTCTTTCCTCAAAGACTACAGTCATAAGTTTTCTACTTGGCTTTTTGCAGAGCAGCAGTTCCTGACACAGCCTTCTGTGTCCTGTCCCACAGAGCCTGGCTCTCCCAGACCTCCTGCCTAGCATTCCACGTGTGCTGCAGGTTCACATTCCCTAGAACTTGAGGTCTCAAAGGAAAAGCAGCACTGCACAACCCACAGAAACCTGTAAGCTCCTCACAGATCCCATCTCCTAGATGGGTGCCTTCCGAGGAGCCCCCACATCCATCCAGCAGCCTGCTCTGTAGTTATTTATCTCCCATCATAAGACCCTTGAAATAAGAGATGAGCCTGAACTCTCTTCAGGGACTGGGCGACAACTATCCTTCAACATATCACGCACAGACTGACCTTGGTGTGGCCCTTACAGAGAGGAGGCAGGTTCTCCATCACCTTCCTAGGCCATCAGTACTGAGGGAAGGGTTTTTACCTGTGCAATGAATGGTGTTATGAGGGCTCCCACTCTGGCCATTCCACTGCACGTTCCCAGGCCCAAAGCACGTGTGGCTGTTGGGTAAACCTGTGGAGAAAGCACCAGCCCATTAACTCAAGTGAGCAGCTCCCTTCCAACCTCCTTAATCAATGGAAATAGCACTGCAACGAGTTCTGCAAGACAACACTGAGATCATGAACTCACATCTGGGGTTTGGTCCACTGTGAAGAGGTCATAAAAATGACTTTCCCACCACGCTCTCAGTCCCCTTAAATAGTCTCATTACAAAACCAGCCTCCTTACCTCTGGAGTGTAAACATAAGCAGCCTGAAATCCTCCTGAAATAAAAGCTCTTGCAATGAAGAGCAGCACAGTAAGAACATTTCTGTGAGAATAAAAAGGAGAGCAGTGTTTGGGATTGTTCTGTACAATCTGTTTGTTTAACTTGGAGGCACGTGCAATTAAAAAAATGTTAATTTCATTACAACCATTTCTTTTGGTTTTTTTTTTAATGAACCCTTCTTATTTTTTCTGGACCCTTAACACAATAACGATGCCAAACAATCTGCATTCCCACAGTCACATCAGCTTTCTAAGGGTATTCATTCTAACTGACAGCTGTGGACTGCAGAAACAAACAGCCGGTGCCTAAGCTTGTCTAAGTAAGAAAAATATATTCCATGTTATGAATGGTGCTAACAACAAAAAATTGGCACACACAAGAAGGAAGTCAGACTGCAGCTCATCTGTTTAAAACACACGACCCTACATACCAACTGAACCTTTGCAGCTTTGAAAGGTTTCTCATTACACAGTTCCTGTGCTGCGCCCCAAAAGGTTTAAATTCAGAGAGCTCTCCTCTGCCTATTTTGCACTTCCTTGCTCTTCAGCCCCAAAAACCAAACGTTGTCTCCCACCACGATTAAGAAAGAACACAGAGTCAGCACTGGCATTTCACTGTGTTTTACTTACCTTCCAACACACAGAAACAGCAGCAGGCTGCAAAACGAGAAGACAAAAAAGGACAGGGCCATGGTTTTCTTGCGGCCTATGCGATCAATAATCCACAGTGTTACTAACACACCTGTAGAAGGAGGCAAGTTGATTGTTGGGAAGTAAGCACAGGTGGAAGCTGCATCAGCTGGCTTTTCACATAGGCTATGTTAGTTAGATTTGAAAATCTGCTCTCACAGTACTTTGCTGGCAGAGGAATGGAGCAGAGGCATGGAATAGATCGGTGCAATTACTGTTATCACATGCAAAAATACCACTCTGTGTCCCAGCGTGTGAGCTTTGCTCCACATTCACAGTAATCCACCTGCCTGCACGCTCACTGGGGGACACACAGGTGTAGCAGTGAGCAGTCAACTCTGACATCTGCTAAATACTGCTTACTGAGTGCTAAAAATGCCTGCCTTATGTCTAACTGGAATATCTTTTGTTCAGCTTCCAACCACCGTCCCCTACTAATCTTTCTACTGCTTAGACCCAAATATTGTCTAGCCATTGAGTTTTTTTACATGCTGCCATCAAATCACTTCTCACCTGCTCTGTGATAATATAAATGGATCAAGCTCTTTAAGTCTCATATTTTTAAATATTCTCTCTCCTGCAGTTTTTCCAGATCCCTTTAAAAGCAGACGCACAGCAAGAGTGGAGATTATGCCAGTACCAATGTTGCCAGTGTCACATTCAGAGATATCCCAGTTTGTATTTCTTACCCCCTGTCTCAGTATGTGTCAGGACCTGACCAGTCTGTTCAGCTATAGCATCAGTCCAAGACTACGTTCTGTCTTCCATTCACTCACGTCCTTTCCAGACTGTCCTACCTACTCTCATTAGGTAGGGGCTATGCACATTTGCCACAGACTCACAACTTTTCACCTATTAAATGGCTTCTCTTAGATTTCATGTCCCTGAAACTACAATATAGAGCGGTGCAAACATCCCCACTGCTGCCTCACTGCAGTATTTCAAACAGAGTAGTACTGAGAGATCATCTTTTACATCTGAAGAAACACTGGCTATTAAATGCTATCTGGATCATCCCCTGAAAGACTGTCCATTGAAATTCATCTTAAATTGACTGAAAATCACGGCTGTGCTGGACGGAGTGTCCAGCACAGCAAGTCCTCCATTGATTCACTACATCCAGGATCCTTTTAAAATAGTCTTGGATAGTCACTTATGGATAAAAGTTCAAGTGATTCTGCCCCTTTTATTTAATCGTTACTCTTCCTCTGAATGCCTAATATGTTTCTTGGAACAAATCCATAGTAAGACAGGCCATTATAGGTTCACAAAGCAATTACTAGTGATTTGATCTGTGGGGCTGTGAAGGGAGCTACAGCTACTGTGTGTACTGCATGTATCAAACAGTTCAAGCAAGGAGCCCCACTGCTTCTGGAAATACAGTGGCATTAGGCCAAAAGGAGAGCCCACTTTCTGTCATACCAAAGTCCATTCCAATTACACTGAGCTACTGGCAGTGAAAAACTGGAGCTTTTTATCACCGCTTACCTGGGAATTCTGACAGGGTTGTCCAGAGCAGATCAGTGTAGTCTTCCTCTGTCAGATACTCACAGGTCAGGCTGCACTTTGCTTTAATTTCTTTTCTTCTACTGGAAACTGTAGGAGAAAAGAAAAAAAAAAAAACAAAAAACAAAAAACAACTAAACATATTTTAAGTAATCTGCTCTCTGCTCAGCTTCCTTTACTCCTGGTAAAGGAACCATTCTTACTGCTGAAAATAAAGGAAGGGATGTGAAGCAAAGAAATGCTGCTGCACAGAAAGTGTATTCCGAGCAGAAGACACAGCTGGAACTGAACAGCTGATGGTCTTACATGTGGCAGGATGTCTTACATGTGCAACCAGAATGAAAACTCACACCTGAATATCAGCTTTACAAGCTTAGTGATTTCCCAGCCCAGGGCTTATGAAGTGAGCAGAATTAACATTCGTAACACAGGTTTCTCCCTACATAAATTGGGATTTAACCCTTCTTCTGGACTTTGAGAAGACAGAATAATTCCAAGTCCTTGTGGGAAAAAAAACAAAACAGTATTTTTAAGGACTGCGCTGTTGTGGAAGCTCTGATTCCGTGTCTTTCCCCAATGCTGCCCATCCCCTTCCATAGTTTTCAAACTACCAGACAGTTTTGACTAATCTCAAACGTTCTGAATAAAGCCATGCCTCCCCTGGGGAATCCAACTTCTTAAGCCTCTTCTTGATGCAGTCAAAGCTTTTTTTTATACATAAAAACCTGCAACAGAAAGGGCGTTGCTTTCCCTGCATTATCTTTTTTCTCCACAGGTCTTCACATCTTAAGGACCTGGGAGCTCCACGGGAGCAGCAGTTTTCTCTATCTCAGAACCAATTAGGCCTGTCAAATCTAGCAGCTTACATTTATTCAATCGTTCTTTACTCAAGAAGAACAGACACATTTCCTAAAAGCTCTCCTTTGAAGGTTGTCTTGCTGTGTTACATTTGGGGCTCACAGACACTGCAGGACCTCTCTGCATTGTGTGGGAAACAAGGCAATGTCTGCCAATAGCGTTTAGTAAAAAGGAGATGCCTTAAAATTCAGGCTGGCAACCACGGTCCTTTCCAAACTAACTGCTGAAAGTCATCAAATAAAAGATATTCCATTACTTTACAGGGATTATTGAAAAAGAAGAGATGGTCTAGTACTCACTGCTGCAGACATCTCCTGCTTGGAAGAACTCTGTAGTTAATAAAACTAACCCATAGTATGAAAAAGCATTGGAAAACCTGCAGGGATGAAAAGAAGAGAGGAAATCTCAGCTGACCACACCTATGATAAACAACAGGAACCACAACCAAACCCACTGTGTGAGGACTTCCACCAAGTGCCACCTCAAAGCCATTTCCTATCAGCAGTTAGGAAAGGAAGGGGCAATTGGATCAAGAATGCTAATGACTGAGTGGTTTAATAAATTACAAATCAATGCAGTTTGGGCTTTTTTTCATGAGGAGGAGGAAGTTGCTGTATTTTAGTGATACTGTTAATCACCTCAATTAAAATCCATTAGAATAGTGCTGGCGCTGAACCATTTATATGTTCTCTTACCATATAAACCAGAGTAACAACGTGGTCCATCTAAAATGGGGTGTAAAAAGGTCCCTCATTTTTCCTCGGTCTTCCTGTTGAAAACAAATGTAAGTCAGAGAATCAGGGAGGTCACAGGTCCCAGACTGAAGGAAGTACAGTGGCAAGGGATAACAATATACAGTACGATGTACTTGGGCAAGTTCAGTTTGAATCTGGGACTCTTCAGGTTGGAGGAGCCACAACAAAGTAAAGAATTCCTCTGCCAAGTGGAATTCCCTGGGAGCACAGCATTCTCAGAGCAGTTCACGCACATGGCGCAGTGCTGCTTCATGAGGAAGGTGAGAATCTGAGTAAGGAGGGGCTGGAAAGTGGAACAGCAGAACTTTGCCAGTGCACAGCTAGCATAGGGTTCATGTGGCCTTCAGTCAGCTCTGCTGAATTAGCACAGCCCATTGAGACCCAGGGCAAGGTGCCAAGGAACTACAAGCAGCCTACCAGCAAGCAGACCTCTTTTCAACAGAGTGTTTCTAAAACAGAGTGGCAGACACAGCTCATAAACCTGTGGTTAAGGAAAAGTGCTTTCCCACCCCACCCTAAAAACAGAATCTTCCAAAACTTGCAGAGCATTCCTGCACAGCCCATCATCATTGCCCTGACTGAACCAAGTATTGGTGAAAGGCGCAAGAGCTCCAGTCCTCACCCATCTGGGCTGCAGAAAACTGAGCTTGTATCTCCAATTATTAAGGCCATTTCTAAAAATCTCCTGCTTAATTCTACAATTTTGCTGCTGTTTGAACCTGCAGGTTTGCCTCTGCTGTTCCTGCTAGCTTCGTAACATTTTTTATCGGTGAAAGTCTGCTCTGTGTTCTGTAAACGTAGAGCCAATTTATATGTTGACAGGGATGCTGAAAAGTTGGCCATGTAACACTAAAGTGAAAAGAAATCCAATGTAATTCATGCAGTAGCATACAGTTCAGAAGTAACAACCTGAATTGCTCCATGCAATAGGACTGAATTGGAGCTTGTAGCATTCCAGCTCCACAAGACCAGGATTAAATTCAAGAGATGCACCTAGAGAGTCTGATTCCACCTCATCCCATGAGTTCAGATCCTGGGAGATGTGATATTCTTCAAAAATAGGGTCTTTCTCACTGTGGTTTGGGCATATATGATCATCTCTCATTTTCGGTTAGTGGTTGAGACGTTAAAATTAAAGTTAACACGGATTATTTGCTTACATAAATCCCTATGCCTGCAGTACAGTTTCACTGTTATCCCGAGTGATTAATGTGTCAGTTACCCATACATACCTGCCTGGAAATAATTAATTTTCCTAGAGGCATCGGAGCTCCGTTTTCTGTTGCTATCCGCTTCAAAGTAGCAATTGCTTTTTCTTGATTTCCAGATAATACAT